ATTTAATTTTTCCAGCACAAGCAGATTTTTTATGTACTAATATGGAGGATGATAATCCCGACTGTAGCTGATTTATGCTTGGGAGACCTTTTCTCCCGCACTGCAAAAAGGACATAAAAAATTGAATGCTTATGAAGGCACATTATCTATGGAGTTCGATGGTGAAGAAAGTCCGAATTTAATGGTTTTATGAGCCTAATGAAGTACCCTAGTGATGTGTCATATTTGTTTCTTATTGATGCCAATTGATCCTTAGCACAAGAATTGTTGAATTAAAATGCTGTTGACGAAGCTTTGATTTAGTGCTTGCAGGAATATTAAATATGGGACAGTATTAAAGAGATTGAGGAAACCTTCTTAGTTAATGAAAATGTACAGGAAATTGTGTGTGAGATGGAGACAAATCAGCCCCTAACAAGCAGCCACAGCCATATTGTTTTGCCTTCTCACCATGAGAAGCTTTTACCATCTGTTTTGCAGGCACCCAAGTTAGAGTTGAAACCGCTACCCGGCCACTTAAAATATGCATTTTTGGGGAATGGAGACACATTGCCTGTTATCATCTCCAGCAAACTTTGTGAGGTTGAAGAAGAGAGCTTGGTTCAAGTTCTTAGGGAGTATAAAGAGGCCATAGGATGGACAATAGCAGATATTAAAGGGTTGAGTCCATCAACTTGTATGCACAAGATTCTTCTAGAAATTCTTCTAGAAGAAGGCAGCAAACCCACAAGAGAAGCTCAAAGGAGGTTGAATCCACCTATGATGGAGGTGGTGAAGAAGGAAATATTGAAGTTGTTAGATGCTGGTATGATTTACCCAATTTCTGACAGCAAATGGGTAAGCCCTGTACAGGTAGTGCCTAAGAAGACAGGAATTACTGTAGTGGAGAATGCTGAAGGAGAGTTGGTTCCTACAAGAGTTCAAAATGGGTGGAGGATGTGCATAGATTATAGGAAGTTAAATGCAGCCACAAGAAAAGATCACTTCCCCTTCCCAACTCCAATTTTATTGACCAATGTTGGAAAGATTAGGTGGTCGTTTCATTATTGTTGTCTTGATGGTTTTTCAGGCTTCTTTCAAATACCAGTGGCACCCGAAGACCAAGAGAAGACGACTTTCACTTGCCCTTTTGGTACATTTGCTTATCGACGGATGCCGTTCGATCTTTGCAATGCACCAGCCACATTCCAAAGGTGTATGGTTAGTATATTTTCAGATTTTGTAGAGGAGATTATTGAGGTATTTATGGATGATTCTACTGTCTATGGTAATTGTTTTGATGAATGCTTAACTAACCTTACAAAAGTCTTAAAGAGGTGTATAGAATCAAACCTAGTGCTAAATTATGAAAAATGCCATTTTATGGTCATTTTATGGTGGACCAAGGTTGATTCTAGGACAATACATTGTTTCATCAAAGAAGGCATTGAGGTTGACAAAGCTAAAATTGAATGTAATTAAATCCTTACCTTACCCTGCAAGTGTGCGGGAGAATTCCGTTCTTTCCTTTGGCCCATGCAGGTTTCTAAACAGACGCTTTAATTTAAGGATTTTTCAAAAGATAAGCTCAACCGCTTTGCAAGCTTTTGCAAAAAGAGTGTGCCTTTTGTGTTCAATGGGGAAGTGTAAAAGCGTTTGATATGTTGAAGGAGAAGCTCATTTCTGCTCCAATAGTCCAACCACCGAATTGGAACTATCCTTTCGAGATTATGTGCGATGCGAGTAACTATGCTGTAGGGGCTGTTCTTGGACAGCGTGTTGAGAAGAATCCTCATGTCATATACTATGCATCAAGAACACTGGACAATGCCCAATGCAACTACTCTACCCAAGAGAAAGAGCTTTTGGCGATAGTGTTTGCTTTGGAAAAGTTCAGGTCGTATTTGCTAGGAACAAAGGTGATAGTTTTCTCTGACCATGCAGCATTGAGGTATTTGTTAAAGAAGAAGGATTCCAAGCCCCGTTTGATTCGTTGGATTCTTTTGCTTCAAGAGTTTGATATAAAGATAAGAGATAAAAAGGGGTCCGAGAATCTTATTGCTGATCACCTTAGCCGGTTGATTTTGAATGAAAAGCCGTCACCATTGGACGATGATTTTCCGGATGAGCAACTCTTTAGCTTCCAAAAAGTTGTTCCATGGTATGCTGATATAGTGAATTATTTAGTTGCAGGTATTAGTTGCAGGTACTTTACCGGAGAAATTTAACTAGAGCTGTCAAAAGATAAAAAATCAAGAGAGATGCTAAGTATTTTGTTTGGATGATCATACTTGTGGAAGTTTTGTTCTGACAGCAGGTGATTAGAAGAATTGTTATGGATGTGGAAGTGCCATCCATCTGAAATTCTGCCAAATTCATCAGCTTGTGGAGTCATTTGGTCCTGTCCTCAACGAACAGCTCGCAAGATTCTGGAGTGTGGACTTTTCTGGCCATCAATGTTTAAAGACTCGTACATTTATTGCAAATCTTGCGAAAATTGCCAAAAGACAGGTAATTTGAGTCGTAGAGATCAGATGCCCCTTACCTCTATTCTTATTTGTGAGATTTTTGATGTGTGGGGTATAGATTTTATGGGGCCATTCCCATCATCATTCGGGAACAGCTACATATTGTTGGCAATGGATTACGTGTCCAAATGGGTTGAAGCTAAGGCAACTCGGACTGATGATGCGAAGACAGTAGTGAATTTTGTCAAGAGCCATATCTTTTCTCGGCTTGGAATTTCAAGAGCAATTATAAGTGATCGAGGAACTCATTTCTGTAACAAGATTATGGAGAATCTGTTCAAGAAGTATGGTATTACGCATCGTGTCTCTACAGCCTACCACCCGCAGACAAGTGGATAAGCAGAAGTTTCGAATAGGGAAGTGAAGTGTGAAGTCTATACTGGAAAAACTGTGAGTCCTAAAAGAAAAGATGGAGGGCGTCAGGCTGGACACGCTTTATGGCTTATAGGACAAGCGTATAAGACACCGATAGGAAATGTCACCTTATCGATTAGTTTTATGGCACATTCATTTGCCTGTCGAGTTGGAAGCACCGCGCATTTTGGCCTATTCAGCGCTGCAAAATATGCAGTATGGTGAAGCTGGTGATAACCGAAAATTACAATTGCAAAGAGTTAGGAAATTCGCAAATGAACTTATGAAAGCTCCCAGAATATACAAAGAGAAGAATAAAGGCTTCCAATGATGGCATGATGATCCAGAAGAGCTTTGTAGTTGGTCAAAAAAGTTTCTATTATTTCATTCTTAAACTCAAAATTAATTCCTAGTAGTTAAGGTCCAGATGGACTGGTCCATTTGTTGTTACTAATGTTTTTGCTCATGGTGTAGGGAAATTAAAGTCTAGAGAACCAATAAAATTTTTAAAGTGAATGGGCAGTCGATTGAAGCCATTTTAATGAAGGTTTTGGAGCTAACTCAACGGAGAATTTGAGGCTCGAAGAGCTGGGGAGTAGACAAGCTGATTAGCTCAAAGAAATCTAAAGGCCGGAGACGTTTAAAATCAGCGCTTAACTGGGAGGCAACCAGCTGGTGAATTTTTCATTATTTTTTTTTCTTCTAATTTTTTTTTTTTTTGAAAAAAAAAAAAAAAAATTTTTTTTTCATGAAGGGTGGTCCAACCTGGGGACACTGTGTTTTTCTGGGTTCAAGAGTCTAGAGCAGAGCTTCTATGGGGTTTTTAAATGGCATGGTTAAAGTTGTTTTATTTTCTATTTTACTGTGTTCGTTGGGGTGAGTATAGAGAGTTTATTCGTTTTAGCAAGGGGGTATATATGCGTTGGCTGAATAAAAAAAATAAATTAATAACTAGTTATATTTGTGCAGCAACTATAAAGAAAACGAAAAAAAAAAGGAAGAGAGAATTGACCTAAGAGAACCCGACGGAAATTGCACAGCTCACAACTTCCTTGCCACCGTCCGATCAACCGCCGTCCGCATCTCCTTCCCTTTTCCGATCAGATTCAGTCGCCGATAACGCTACAGTCCGACGGAATTCTTGTTGCCATTCTTCAGAACTCCTGCCGTCGTTCAAGACTCTCAGCCAACGCAGATTTCATCCAAAGAGCGCCAACGATGCAACTCTTGCAACCCGTTCCATCACTCCGATCAAGACCTTAGCCCAACCCTACGTTACTCTACAGCGCGACGCAAAACCCCACAGCAGTGTCTTCCTTCCTCATCTGATTCCTATCCGTGCCAACTTCAGCAACAGGCCCATTTGCGAAAAAGAAAGTTATGCAGTCCGGTGACGAGGCTGCTGCCACTGTTGCCCCTGTTGTGCCGTCAACCACAACAGCTACAACTGATGTTCCCTCCACTTCAGTAGTGAGACAATTGAACATAGAAGTTAGATTGCAGAATTTGGAGCAAAGACAAACAGAAATGCCAGCCATGCTGCAGATCAACAATGATACTTCGCACTGAGGTTTGGTAGTGAATACTCCACAACAGGGCAGTTTCCTTAAACTTTACCTTTTATTTACATTTTAAGCCTTGAGTCCACTCAATTTATTGGGTTTAAAATTAGTATTCTGAATATAAGCTCTTAAAACTTAGAATCTGTTGTCATTGTTTCAACTAAGTTTGCTTGCTTGTTTTGCTATGTTGTTTTAATGCCATGTTCAGTATTGAGAGTAATAGGTACAACATCAAACCCAATTGATTGAATTGCAGAAGTTGGTGGGATTGGAAATATGCCATGTTCAGTATTGGAAATTTGATTGATCTTTGAGGTAAATAGAAAAGCTGAATAACATTTGCAGACTAACAACCATTTGGTTTGCATTTTTGTTCTTTTGTTTTTCTTTTGGTTGTGTTAGTTGGGTGATCGCTGCAACATACCTCGCACACACTTCTCTTCACAGGTTGCCCTGCAGCAATAGATTTAACAATAGAGGTTAGTTCATTCAGTTGAGACTGAATGGAAGAATCACATACCTGATATAGCTTCCTGGAGGGTTCTTCAACTTGGCCAAATTGTTGTGAATTGGCGGGGAATGTGACCATCTTTGCTGAAATTTTTAATTTTACTGCCATGTGTTGTTCTTAGTACTTGCTTATGTTTATGCTGCTGCCATGTGCATATTTGGTATGAAACTTGACCGGTTTTGACTGTTTTGTAAAAATGCTCCTTTTTTATTTACCACTTATCCCATGAATATTTTGAGTAAAATTTTTTATTTTTGAGCTGCATTTGGGATTACTCTGGGACTTAATTGTGTCTTTAAACATGATTTAGAATTTATAGGATATCTAGAGAGGATAACTTTGCTTTTGAAACTTGGTCTGACTATTGTGAGAGCCCTAGACAACAAGACTTAGCAAGCGAAAACCATAACTTGAAATTGACCGTCATTGCACTCGTGAATCTTGGTTTAAATTGTTTACACTTTGAATTCTCAAATCGGGTTTTCGAAACTTAGCCTCTTTTGATAAGTGTTTTTGAGAGCAATGGTCTGACTGTTGTGAGAACCCTAGACGATAAGACTTAGGACTTAGCGAGCGGAAACCATAACTTGAAATTGACCGTCATTGCACTCATGAATCTTGGTTTAAATTGTCTACACTTTGAATTCTCAAATCGGGAAAAAAAAAAAAAAAAAAAAAAATTCTACGTTTTCCCACCTTGACGTTACCGTTCTTTTTACCCCTTCTAGCCTACGAAGCATGCTAAATGCGTGCTTCCAAATTCTTTTCATAACCCCCAATATAACCGTATAACCCAAAAAAAAAAAAAAAGCTCCTTGCCTACCACCTTTGAACAAGGAAATAGTCTTTTTAATCATTGTTGAGCATGCATGTTTAAGTTTCAAGTTTTGGCGCGAATGCATTTTTGTTTCTTGTTTATGTTTGTGTTTTGGAATAAATAGTCATAGCGACTTATATGTAATTAATCGTTGTGATGTCGAAAAAAAAAATAAATAGTCATAGCGACTTATATGTAATTAGTCGTTGTGATGTCGAAAAAAAAAAAGGAAAAGAAAATTAGAAAAGAAATAAAAAAAAAAAGAAAAAAGAAAAAAAAAGAAAGGAAGAAAGAATAAATAAACAGCAGCAATAAAATAAATAAAAAGAAAGAAAAATAGAGGGAAAGGCTACAATGTTATGTTTTGTTTTGTGAAGTTGCATTTGTTGCCATCTAAACATTAAAGTTAATAACGTGCATTGCTCTTTGAACTTAATGTGAAAGACTTATTTTCTTGTTACTCTCTAGCCTTACATTATCCTTTTCTTACATTATCCTTTTCTTTTGTAACCATTACCCTAGCCTAACCCATACATAAGACCTAATGATACTTAGTTGAGACTTGTCCTACATTAGTGGAGAGGGAACCGCAAGGAGAGATTATGGTTGTTCATTATCTTGTTTTCTTGAAGCTATGAAAATGTATTTTATATGCTTTGATTATTGCTCGATAAAACATTTGTTGATTCAAGCTTCGTATGTGTGCGTGAGTGTTTTAAGAATTCTTAGTGTAACCTTTTTCGATTGAGTTCACGATGATTGGATGATTTTGACAGTTTGGTATCCAATTGCGATGTTGCGTTGTAACATCCCTTCCCGGTCCACCCGTTAACCCGAATGAACCAAACCGAGATGCTACAAACTGGTTGACTTTATGCCCTGTCATGCTGATATAATAATGGATACAGACTCTTATATCATGCTGATGCTGTTTATATTAATAATGTACTTAATATTTACAAGACATGATACTTGTTGATTTGGTGTCATTTTGTGCTTAAAAGAGTGGTTTAACTTGATTTATTGTTTTTATGCTAGGAAAAGTTGGTATGCTTAGGAAAAAGTTTGGATTTGATATGAATTGAAGCAAAAAGGAGCACAATTGGAAATGTTTTGGGAGCAAGGAAGAGCTGCTGGGAATTTTTTGGAACACAAATGACAAGTTGTTCACGGCTCTTAGCCTTGGGCAAGACTAAAACAGGAAATCACGGACCACGCGGACTGATTTGTTGAGGAAATCAGACCAGCAGACTGATTGTGATATTATTGGCTGGTCACGACTTCTTCAACTAATTCCAGCACGTTTTACAGCCACATGATGATATTAGGCATAATTTTTAGTGGGTATTTTTATTGTATTAGTTGGCCCCACTTTCTAGGGGGTATTTAAGTCACAATCGGGCCTTTTGTCGATCATCTTTTGTCTCCCTTGGGTTGTGAGGAAATTTACAGAATTTTTGAGAGATTTCTGCCGAACTTTTAATTCTTTTGATGATGTTTTCTTCCATAGTCATGTGTGGCTAAACGTTCTGTTCAGTTAAGGCTAAACCAAGGTAGAAGTTTGATTTCGATTATGAGATTATATTGAACTTAATTGAATTTCTTTATTCTATTGCATTTATATTCTTTCTGTTATTTATTGGGAAAATATATCCCCTAGCGAAATTCTATTGAATGAGATTTAACCAGGACCCAGTTATATGTTGATTGTTTAGAATTTCCATAGCTATTCGGCGTAATCAAATCCCGTAATGTTTGGTTTAGGTTTGAATGCAGTTGTAATTAATTATAACTTAATTGGTAGAACTTTTCTAGGTTGCTATTAAGGAAAAGAATATAATCAGATTTAAAATGTATGCTCGTAGTTTCTGTTTAATCTGGACAGGGTTTTCCTATTAGATTTTTAAAGCGCCAGTTAACAGTTCAAATCCTCGTTCGTAACTAGGAATTGCTAGATGACTTAGGGGTTGTTATTTAGATTCGTTACTCTTAGCAACCTATTCCTCACCGGTTATAGGAATTGGTGGCAGAACCAGAAGTTTGACGTTTTTCTGGCTATAACTTGTCTGTAATATGTGAATTTAAGGAAATTACATCTTTGAAATCAAATGATCACTCAGAATCAAAATTTATCGATCCGCGGTATGCCTTGGCTGAATTTTTCTATTCAATTGTTCAGGTTAATTTTTTAATTTTATTGCATTTATTTCTTTGATTTAATTTTAATTCGTTTAGGTTCGATTATTAAATTTCCCCCGTTTATCAATATCTATTTTTAATTTATTCAGTTTTGTTCTATTTTCGACTTTCGACAAAGCTAATCCCTAGGGTTCGATCCTTCTCACCATATTTACAAGTTTTATTTTGTAGGGGAGCAGGTTAATTATTTTTGGCGGATTCGACGCCCGTCAATTGACGATTGGACTAGAGCGGCGTTGATAACTCAAGACTAACAAAATTCAAGCAATGATGATGATCTCGGCTCATTAACGGGGACTAGTGGCACCGATGACTAAAATAAATTGTAATAATTGAAAGGTTATTTTCCATTATAATAAAAAAAAGAACTACGTGGGCTTTGATTTTCTCTAAATCCTAAGAGGATACGTAGGCAATTAAACTAAAAATTTTCAATTTTAATTTAATTGAAGCCCAAAATAAAAAAAAATTATAATTTTCTATATTAGTGAATTAGCAAAATTTGTAAATTTAATGTAATATATAATAGTTCTAAGTTAATAGAAGTTTTTCTTTTAAAATTTTATAATAATTTATTTAGTCAATAAAATATAAACATTTTAAAATTATTATTTATTTATGAATTTGGAATCAAAATTTTATTAATTTTTTCAAAAATTTATGTAATACCGAAATCGAATCGGAACCGTAATTCGAACCGTCGGTAAAAATTTATGTAATACCGAAATCGAATCGGAACCGTAATTCGAACCGTCGGTTCATTGGAACTGAAACTAGAGGTTCAAGGATCGGTTCCAGTTTAAAATTTTAAACATCTTAAACCGGCGGTTCATTGAACCGGCCATACCTATGGTAACATACCATAAGGAATTCAAAACTTAGACTTCTTTAACAAGTCTACACCTATTAGGGAACAATTTCCAAGTTGGTGGAAACTGCCTAATAAGGTCCGTAGGATGTCTTTGCAAGCTGAGATCAATTGATTTGTCATACATTAAATTGAATGTCGACATAATAGATGTCTTTCAAATGTTGGCAGTGTGTGTTTCAAATCATTTAGAATCATTGCATTTACTTGATTGTCAAATTTTTTGGTCAACTACCTAACCTTAAAAACCCTTGGTCAATTCAGGCATCTAGCCTCTCTCTGTTTAAGGAAAAATTCCATTTTCGTTAATATTCCAATCTCTTTGGGAGTCTCTTTAAGGAAAATTTCCATTTTCGGTAATATTCCAACTTCTTTTGGGAGTCTCTCAAGCTTGAAAGCAGCATCTCTTTCTACAAACTCAATGGAGGGAGTTGTTACAGAACTCCATTTTGCCAATTTAATAAGATTGACACATTTCTCTACTGGTGGAAACTCACTCACTTTTCAAGTTAGCCCAAATTGGATTCCACCTTTTCAACTTAGAGAGTTATGCCAAGGATCTTGGCATTTAGGAAAAGTGCTTCCTCCTTGGATCTGTTCACAAAAGTATTTAGCAACTCTAGATATGTCTAACTCAAGTATAGTTACCATTCCCAGTTGGTTTGAAATTTCTTTTCGCACTTTATTTACTTAAATCTTTTAGGCAACCAAATACATGGAAAGATTCCACATTTAACTTTGACTCAAGATTAATCATTATACTCTTTTTTGGCAACCAAAATTGATTTGAGTTCAAATTACTTTAACGACTTTTTGCCTTTCGTTTCTTCCGCTATCACTTCATTAGATCTTTTCAATAATTTATTTTCTGGGTCTATTTCTCACTTCTTGTGCTCTCAAATGAATAAGGAATTTTAATTCAATGAGTCAATGAACATGTGATTTTTAAACCTGGGATCAAATTGATTATCTGGAGAGATACGTAACTGTTGGATGAAGTGGCACGCTTTGGCAGTTATACGATTGAGTAATAATAAATTTATTGGAAAAATTCCAAGCTCAATAGGAAATTTGAGTATGCTTCGATCCCTACATCTACGGGACAACAATTTATCAAGAGAAATACCATTATCTCTTTCAAATTGTAAGAGATTGCTGGTCATTGATCTTGGTGAAAATCAATTTGATGAAGAAATTCCAAATTGGTTTGGAATAGAAGTTCCTAAATTGATGATTCTCAACCTCCGCTCAAACAAATTCTATGGTCCTATTCCTGTTAGGGCACCGGCAATAAAATTACGAAAAATAATTACAGCAGAGAAAAAAAATAAAATTGTAACACAGAATTTACGTGTTTCACTATTAACTGTTTAGGGCTACGTCCACAGGACCAACTTCGAATATTTCTTCCACCATTAAAAATAGTAGGCTTACAAAGAGAGTAATACAAAATAGCGGTACTCAAAAGTATTTCCCAAAAACACCCCAATAATCTTCACTATTTTTCTAGACCCTTAGTTTTAAGAACCTTTTCTTAAAAACTGAAACTCTCAAAATCTCTTTTTTTTTTTGACCCCTTGTTTTAAGAAACCTTTCTTAAAAACTGAAACTCTCAAAAATCTCTTTTTTTTTTTTCTTTTTCTTTTGCTTTTTTTTTTCTTTTTCTTTTGCTTTGCTTGTATGTTGAGATGAACTGAATCATCTCCTATTTATAGGAGAGGTGGACGCGTTAATCACGCGTCCACCGAAAAACAAATTGAGATTCACCAAAAAAAATTTTTCCTTCTTTTTGTTTATTTTCAAATATGGGTCCCACTGAGTGGGCACCGCCACAACAAATCTCCCCCTACAACTCAAGTGGGGATGTTAGCCATACCGGCTATCTTTCTGTAAGTGACAAGCTTCTCCGTAGGTAAAGCTTTAGTCATCATATCAGCGCCATTATTATCAGTGTGAATCTTTTCAATCTGAAATAGCTTCATCTCCAGCGCATCACGTATCCAATGATACCTCACATCAATGTGCTTTCACAATCAATGTTGCATTTTGACCTTGAATGCAAGGTTCGAATTTTTGCTGAGGATGTAGGATGCGCTTTGGACTATCACATAGCTAGAGTGTACTTTCTTAGTTTCTATACCCAATTTTCTTGTAGGAATTTTCTTCATCCACCAAGAGTTCTTCCTAGCTTCTGTCAAACTAGCGGGTAAATTTTTGCCCTCAAGTGGATTGAGAGAATGTGCAAATGCATTTTTGCGATTCGATTGCTAGATAAACTGCTGCTCCTTAAGCAAAAGTTCATCAGATATGCAGAAGCTGATTTTTGCGCGATATCACATCATCCAACCCATATCTGCGTCTTCTGTAACCATCTAACACAGGTTTCTATTATCACCCAAAACAATAAGCAGATTTTGGAAGTGCCTTTCAACAATACTCGAGAATCCACTCACTGCATTTCCAGTGTTCTTTACCTGCGATTGAAAAGAAATCAGCCTAACAACGGACCAACAGCGTTTGAGCAATATTCGGTCCTTGTGCATACCATGGCGTTACATCAAGTTGCCAAACGGCCGGACTTGCCAAAGCGGATGCATAAGGAATCTTCTTCAATTCTTCTTTTTCTTTCTCACTTGAAGGACATTGACTGAGACTTAATTTGAAATGACCTACAAGTGGAGTACAAACTGGTTTCGCATTGCTCATGTTGAATCTGCTGAGAACTTTCTCGATGTACTTCTCTTGAGATAGCCACAACTTTCTCCGTTTCCTGTCTCTAGAGATCTTCATTCCAAGAATCTGTTTTGCCGATCCCAAATCCTTCATGGCAAAGGATTTTCCAAGCTCCTTTTTTAAGCTCTCAATTTTTTTAGCATTTTAGCCCACAATAAGCATATCATCCACATATAATAAGAGAATAATAAGGTCGCCTTCTATGAACTTTTTCACAAATACACAGTGATTAGAAGTAGTTTTCTCATACCCGTGATTTACCATGAAAGAGTCAAACTTTTTGTACCATTGTCTGGGAGCTTGTTTGAGGCCATACAAGCTCTTGTACCATTGTCTGGGAGCTTGTTTGAGGCCATACAAGCTCTTCTGCAATTTACACACCAAGTGTTCTTTGCCTTTGACTATGAACCCTTCTGGCTGCTCCATATAAATTTCCTCCTCTAAGTCATCATGGACGAAAGCAGTCTTTACATCAAGTTGCTCGATCTCCAAATTCAAGCTAGCTGCTAGACCAAGCATAACTCTGATAGAAGACATCTTGACTACAGGTGAGAAAATTTCTTCAAAGTGAACTCCTTTCTGCTAGTTCTCTGGTTCTCCCCCCTTGAGTTAACAAGTCATACTCATTAGGAGAATATCTCTAGGAAGGTATCCTGCCTCTCGCAGATCTTCGCAATTGAGGCAGTTCTTCTATTAGAGCTGGTTCAGCATCATTATGAATAGGTTCACCATCATCTTCTTCATTGTTTTGTGGTTCTACATGAGGTTCTGCATCAAGACTAACAGGAAACTCATTGATAGACTTTGGCTTGTCATTTTTCTCAAAGTCTTCAATGGTTTGGTCTTCCAGGAATACTACATCTCTGCTTCTGATGAGCTTCTTTTCAACTGGATCCCATAATCTGTACCCAAAACCATCATTTCCATAGCCCAAGAAGATATAGTGTTTTGACTTCGAATCAAGCTTGGATCTTTCATCTTTTGGAATATGAACAAAAGCCCTGCAACCAAATATTCTAAGGTGATCATAAGAAATATTTTTCCCTGACGACACCTTTTTTGGTACATCTCCGTTGAGGGAGGTTGAAGGTCAAAGGTTGATCAAGTAAACTGCAGTATTCATTGCTTCAACCCAAAAGGTTTTCAAAAGTTTAGCATGAGAGAGCATACATCTAACCCTTTCAACAATGGTCCTGTTCATTCTCTCTGCAAGTCCATTCTGTTGTGGAGTTTTGGGAACTGTCTTCTGAAGTCTGATGCCGTGTTCTAAGCAATACTTCTCAAATGGTCCTCTGTACTCACCATCATTATCAGCTCTAACACATTTTAACTTTCTTACCATTTCATTATCAGCTCGTAAAAACACATTTTAACTTTTCTTCCCGTTTATCTTTCAACCACTACATAAAGGACTTTAAACATATTCCAGCACCTGGGTTCCTTTTGGACTTTATTGGTTAATAAAACCAAACCTTTCTAAAATGGTCATTCAATAAAGCTAACATAATATGGAGCAACCACTCAAGATGTCACCCATTGACAAAACATCAGTGTGCGCTGTCCAATTCTAGAATTACCAGGCTTTCTAAGAAGCGGAAGAAGGGGAGTCTTTGTAAATGGAAACTCTATGTGTTTACCAGACAAAACAATAACTCTATGTTGTTTACCAGACAAACAATCAGTGCATATTTTTAAAGGCAAACCTTTCAAAGATAGCATTTTCTTCTTGGTGAGAGTCTCCATTCCCTTCTCACTCAAGTGACAAAGTCGTTTGTGCCACAACTCAGCAGATGAATCTTCAACTGCATTCACCACTCCTGTGCAAACTTTGGCCTGGGTGTAGTATAGGGTGTTGAACTTTCTTCCTCTTCCGAACACTAGGTTACCTTTGGAAAGCTTCCAAGTTTTATTAACAAACAGATTTGCATAACCCAATTCATCAAGACAATGAACTGAGATCAAATTGAAGTTTGCCGCAGGAGTGTATCTCACATCTTCCAACCAGAGATCATAACCAGCATTGGTTTTGATGCATACTGTTCCAATGCTGCAATTTTTCATATATGTGTCATTCAAAGTCTTGACATGGTCGTAATCTCCGAGGGTAAGTGATGAAAAATATTCCTTCTTTGAAGAAATATGATAAGAACATGCAGAGTCAATAATTTTGAAGAAATATGATAAGAACATGCAGAGTCAATAATCTAAAGAGATTGTTGACTTGTGGAACACTCACTGAGACCAGCATGAGAAATTAGTGTACTACCATCACCAAGTGCATCAACATCAATAACTACTGAGGCTACCTCCATATCGTCTTTCTTTTTCTCATCATTTTCTTTGGCTCGTTCCTTCTTCCACTTTCTGCAGTGCCTTTGGATGTGACCGGGCTTGCCACAATGATAACAAGTGACACCTTTTCTTGACTTGGATCTTCTCCATGAATTGTCACGCTTGTCTAGATTTTGGGGGTATCTGGTTTTCTTCTCCCCCTCCTTTCTGTAACTGTAACGAGTGCATCTGAGTTGCTATCGTACCAGTCTCCTTACGTCTAGTATCTTCATTCAGAATACTTTCCTTAATTCCTTACACTGTGGTTTAAGTTGTAGATATCCCCTCTGACACATTACTGAGCGTAACACATCAAAGCGATCTCCTTAAACTGTCCGGCCAAGGGAACTCAATAAAGATTAGTTGCCTGCCACTGGTCGTTCCACAACATTATTTTTTGACGTCATCAGTTAGTTCAATATTATTCTTGGAATTGCCAAGTGATCTGAAGCACTTTTTCGCATCTCTGTACTTTAAGGATTACAAGCCTTTCTAATTAAAAAGCTTTGTACTGGCATTCTTCCGCTCGTACATGTTCACTCCAACTTCTTCCAGCATTAATAGGCATATTTCTCATCGAAGCGAGTATGATTTATTGACGCTCAGTTCATACAGACTGCCTAATAGTTTTTATGACGCTCATTTCAACAGACTGCCTAATAGTTGCGACTGCTTTTCTGTTAATCGATTTCCAATCAGTCTCATTTATTGAAGTTGGCCTGACTCTTTTCAATTCAATCGTTTCAAAGAGATCTTTGCAGCATAGAAGATCTTCCATTAATATCTTCCTTGAGTCTAACCATTGTGCCTGTTGTTCTATCGTCCATTTTTTACTTGTGTAGAATATTATCACCAACAGAAACCGTATAGGTGAATAGTAGTATACGTGAATAGTAATAGTATACGTAAATAGTTCCTGTATGTGTGAATAGTAACTGTACACGTGAATAGTACTATACGTGAATAGTGTTGGGCTTAACAGTGACGGACGCAGCAACAGTAATGCCAATAGTACTATTCACGCCAAATTTGAGTTACTATTTTACTAATCATCACTAGGTCAATTCTGCAACGTCTTTTTGAACAGACTGCACCGATGCACTCGTCGTCATGGTATATTTATTTTCAAAATATATCCACGGATCCGGTACCGCTATCTGCTTGGCGGATCTGTTGGAACCAGGCTCTGATACCACTTATTAGGGCATCGGCAATAAAATTACGAAAAATAATTACGACAAAGAAAAACAATAAAATTGTGACACACAGAATTTACGTGGTTCATCCTTAACTGTTTAGGGCTACGTCCACGGGACCAACTCCGAATATTTCTTCCACCATTAAAAATAGTAGGCTTACAAAGAGAGCTACCCGAATATTTCTTCCACCATTAAAAATAGTAGGTCTTACAAAGAAGTAGTAATACAAAAACTTAGTGGCACTCAAAAAGGTGTTTCCCAAAAAACACCCCAAAATAATCTTTCACTATTGTTTCTAGACCCTTAGTTTTAAGAACCATTTTCTTAAAAACTGAAAAACTTCTCTAAATCTCTTTTTTTTCTTTTGCTCTGCTTTGTAATGTGAGAGAACTGAATCATCTCTATTTTTTAAGAGAGGTGGACCTGTTAATCCACGCGTCCACCGTCCGAAAAATAAATTAATCACGCGTCCACCGAAAAATAAATTGAGATTCACCAAAAAGAAATTTCCTTCTTTTTGTTTATTTTCAAATGTGGGTCCCACTGAGTGGGCACCGCATAACAATTCCTCACTAAATTTGTTATTTAAAAATGCTGCGAACCTTAGACTTATGTTATGGACAAATTCCGTAACCGTGTGAGGCCTAACTGAAGAGCGTACCAAGCTGCGTTTCAACCTGTGTGGGTTGAGGCGGTAATCCATGCTTGTGCTCAAGCATGACTTAAAACTCAACAAAACATAGCTTAAACATAAAGGGAAGAACTCTTCTCGACCCTAAACAATCCTTATGAGAACAATCGGAAAAATAAAGTCAATTACTAAGCAAAGTTAAATTGACTAAAAAGTTAAATTGACTAAGTTTGAATGAAGTGCAAGCAAGACTAATAAGTCGAATTCAGACTCTCCTAAACATAAAATCCAAGGCTTGAATATATAAAATTAAGCACATACAACAAAAAGTTGATAACCGTTCCTCAAAAAATTATTTGGTAACTCACCAAAGTACAACAATTCATCGCGACCATACATGCAAAGACTAAATAAAAACAAAAGAAAGCTTTTTTTTTTTTTCAAGAAGCTTGAGCATTTATCGTGTGCTTGAGTTGTCATCAATGGTACCCGCTTACGGGTATATGAATACGGCTATTTTTTTTTTCTTTCAAGAAGGCTTGGAGCATTATCGTAGCTGCTGATTTGTCATCAATGGTACCCGCTTACGGGTTATATGGAAGTCACGAGCTCATAAGTGGCCTACTAGGCACTGCGCTCTCTATTACCATACTTGTCGCAGCGAAGCGATCCGACTGCCTACAAGTTCTTACACTTGTTGACTCATTTCGGACTTTTCTCTTGACTCAAAAAACACATTACAAAAATAAAGGCTCATCTTTGATATCTATGGCTATCCTTACCAAGAAGTTACTAGAAAGAAAGTTAACGGTTCAAATTCTAGCTCAATAAATAATGAGAAACTCCAAGCTCAACATTTTAAGACTAAAAGAGGTCAACAAATTTAAACAAAATTATTCAAATGCCACAAGGAGTCCAAAATACAGTCAAAGTGACTGGTAGTTAGACTAATTGAAATTGCTTTTTCAAAACCCTAGTTCAAAGGACCTTGTCATAAGCCATAGAATAAAATTCTTTGCAACTTTTAGTTTTTCGAAATTTAGAGTTTTAAAGGTCTTACTTAAAAGGACACAATAAACCCTTGGCAGTTAATCCCAAAATCAGCCTCAAAAATCTCATTTAATCAAACAAAAAAATTTTTACTCAAAATTCATGGTGAATAACAAAAACGCGAACCAAAAGTGTGCCTGACATTACTAAACTCAAACCAGTCACAATTCAAAATGGCTCACGCAGAAAACAAATGCAGCCAAAATAAGTTGTTATGGCAATAGCTATTTAACAAAAGAAAAGCTCAAATCTTCAGCAATATGCCATCATAAATTCAGCAGCCATTATTATACCATGCTGAAGCATAAAAACACTCATTAAGAAAAAAATAAAAAAAAAAACACCTCGGCTAATAATAAAACCCTTCCCCACGACCTTACTTTACACATTGTCCTCAATGTGGGACAAAATCACAATTAAAGTACACAAGAGGAAAGGTCTCAAAGAGTAATAGAAAAAACTGCCCCTGTTTCACTGAAACTTTACTCATTCAAATAAAATTGCAACCAAAAGCCAAGCTGTTGTCCCGGTAAGTGGATACCCTGTTGTCCGGTAAAGGGTACCTGCTACAGAATAAAATGCAAAACACAAGCCAGACAAACAAGCAAACAAGTGAATGGCTGGTCACTTTTTCGACCAAAATTATTAACAATATCAACCATATGCAATACTTGTTACCTATCCAGTCCTGCACCTGAAAATCAGTTCATTTACAATGCTCAAATCCTAACATCATTCAAAATTTAGGCATAAATTATCAACACAAGCTTAACCGTTTCCGAGTCAATAATTAACTCAAGGAAATAGCAGAGAACTAACAAATCAACTAATCTCTTAGGAACTTTAAACTCTTAGGAACTTTAAATTTTTAGGAATCTGCACAAACCTAAGAAAACTAAAAATGCCTAATATACCAACTAAAATCCAATATCAGCAATAATATGAGAACAGAATAATAGCAGTGCAGTTTCAGTGTATGTAATCAAGTCAATGAATAAAAGCAGAATTTCCTATCAGTATTCAGTCATATTTACCATTATTGACTAGCACAAACCTATATAAGACTGAATCTACTAACTCAACAAAAAACTTGATCACAAATACACCATTTAATAATACACCCATTAATCATTCACAAACATTCTATTCCCCGCAATTTCAGAATTCCTCCAAAACCTGTTGTATTAGCATTCTCTGCAACAGAACTCAAAGAACAATCCGAAAGGAAAATATTCAGAAAACATTACCTGTCGGTAGAGTAACTAAAAGTAATCGAGACAATTAAACTATTTATTAGCAAAGGAGGAAGATGACAGACTGTATTTTATTTGCAAATAAATAAATAAATAAAATAAAGCAAAAATTTGGGGTTTGCTTCTCCCACAAAGCGTCCTTTTTTTATCGTCGATAGCTCGACATGGTCACTAGCATCTTCTTTACTCTAAATAAAAATTAGATCAACTCAATTTGATTTTCTATCCAGTGGAATGCTCTTGGAAGCCTTCATTATAAATGGCTTTGTAAAATGGCTTGAGTCTATGGCCATTGACTTTGAACACCTTCTTAGTTTCTAAACTTTGAATCTCAACAGCACCATAAGAAAACATATTAGTAACAATAAATGGACCAATCCAACGAGAACGCAACTTACCGGGCATTAACTTTAATCTAGAATTATACAATAAAACTTTTTGCCCAACCACAAACTCCTTGTTTAAAATTAGTTTATCATGAAATGCTTTTGTCTTTTCCTTATAAATCTTAGAATTTTCATAAGCATCAAGACGAATCTCCTCTAACTCCTGCAATTGTAACTTTCTTTCCACACCAGCAGCATCTAACTCAAAATTACAATTTCTAACAGCCCAAAAAGCTTTATGTTCTATCTCAACAGGAAGGTGACACTTTATGTTCTATCTCAACAGGAAGGTGACACATCTTACCAAAAACCAACCTGTAAGGGGACATACCTATGGGTGTCTTATAGGCTGTTCTGTAAGCCCACAAAGCATCATCAAGTCTAAGGCTCCAATCCCTTCTCTTTGGCTTCACCATCTCTCTAGGATAGACTTCACCTCTGTGTTTGATACCTCAGCTTGCCCACTTGTTTGAGGATGATAGACTGTAGAAACTCTATGAAAAACACCATATTTCTTTAATAATGCCTCCACAGCTCTATTGCAAAAATGAGTGCCTCTGTCACTGATCAAAGCTCTAGGAAAGCTTCTAGGAATTCCACAACCCTGCTGAAAAGTATTTGACTTGACCCAAAAATCTTAACAAACGAACTTCTAGAATCATCAGTTCTGGTGGGCCTTTATGCTTCCACCCATTTTGGAAACATAGAACTCGAACAGCAATAATGTATATAAGTAAAAACCAGAAAGAAGAAGGGGAAATGGACCCAATAAAATCAAGTTCCCCCACCACATTCAAAAACTTTCACATACAAGTATAAAATCGATTCCCCACACATCAAAAATTTCACATACAAGTATTGGGGTCTGACTCATCTCATTCCTTCGAGATATACTTCCTGTTCTTTGACACTGTTCACAATTTTTACAGAAAATAAATGCATCACGAAAAATGGTAGGCCAATAAAAACCACAATCCACTATCTTTCTACCTGTTCTCTTAGGTCCAAAATGACCACCAGATGCAAATGAATGACAAAAAACAAGAATTGATTCAATCTCATTATCAGGGATGCATCTCCTAATAATTTGATCAGAACAAAATTTCCACAAATATGGTTCATCCCATATATAATACTTAGATTCACTCTTCAAATTTTCTTTTTTAGCTCTACTTAAATCAGAAGGCATAGTCTTAGTAACCAAATAATTCACCAAATCAGCATACCAAGGGATCATACCTTGTAATTTAAATAAAACAATTGGCTCTATCATGAAATCAATTCTGTTGTAAAGGAAAATTGGACTCCCTCATGATGCTGGCACCCAACCTGCTCAAAATGATCAGCTACCAAAATGCTGCAGGGCACCCTTTTATTATCATTGATTTGGTAAGATCAAATTTGTGTAAAAGAAGAAATCCATCTAATTTGTTCTTGCTTCTGCTCCTTCTTTCTAAGAGAAACTTTAAGCTGCATGATCAGAAAAAACAATCACTTAGAATTTAAGACAGTATGATCTAGAATTTATCTAAAGCAAAAAACCAGATAGCTAAAAGAACTCTTAAAAACAATAGCTAAGAACTCTTTTTCAGTTGTGGAGTAATTGCGTTGTGCAGAGTTCAATGTCCTGGATGCATAATAAATCACATGAAAAAGCTTTTCCTCATGCTGCCCTAAAACAGCCCCCACCGCATAATTACTTGCATCGCATATAATTTCAAATGGTATAGACCAATTAGGAGCTTGAATAATAGGAGGTGTCGTCAGTGCTGACTTTAACTTGTTAAAAGCCTCCTTACATTCTTCACAAAACTCAAATTTAACATCCTGCTGCAGTAGTCTAGATAAAGGTACTGCTATCTTGGAAAAATTCTTGATAAAACCTTTCGCATAGAAACCTTGCATGGACCAAGGACAAGAACGCAATTCCCTCACAGTTGTGCGGGCTATGGTAAATTCACAATTAAATCAACCTTTGACTTGTCTTACTTCAATACCTCTATTTAGAAACAACATGCCCTAAAACAATTCCTTTGGTCTACCATAAAGGGTGGCACTTCTCATAATTCAAAACCAGATTTATTCTCAAGCATCGTTTCAAGAACAAAGAATTTAAATTATTGTAAAATGCATCAATGAATCACCATACACTATAAATCATCCATTGAAAAACTTCAATGCAATTCATCAATAAAATCTGAGAATATGCTTGACCAATACATCTTCGAAATGTTGCCGGTGCCTTACAAAAGTCCAAAGGGCATTCTATTCTAAATGCCAAAAAGTTCCAAAAGGACAAGTGAAGGTAGTCTTCTCTTGATCCTCTGGTGCTATCACAACTTGATTATACCCGCTGAGAAAAACCATCAGGAAAGCAGAAATAAAACTTACTATCCTGCTAACCGCCTCAAGCATCTGATCAATGAATGGTAATGCGGAAGTGGTCCCTTTCTAGTGAAAAGTTTTAACTTGTGGCGGGCGGGGGCGGGCGCGCGCGGGGGCTAGTCTATGCACCATACGCCATCCATCTTGAATCCGTGTTGAACCAGCTCATTTTCTTGATTTGCTACAACCGTAACTCCTTGATTTCTTTGGCACGACTGAAAAAATGAAAATGGACTTACCCATTTACTGTCTGAAAATTGGGTTAAATCACCCCAGCATCTAATAGCCTTTTCAAAATCTCCTTCTTCACAACTTCCATTCATCAGTGGGGTTCAGCCTCCTTTGAGCTTCTCTTACTGGCCTTAGCATTCATCTTCTAACAAAATCCTATGCATACACACCGATGGGCTTATACCTTTTGATGGTCAGCCAATGTCCATCAATTAGCTTCCTTATGTATTCTTAGGAATCTCTTGTCAACCTTCTTCTTCAATCTTAGTTAACTTACTGAAATGATAACTGGAAGTGTTATCATTATCTCCCAAGTAAAAATATTTACTTCAAATGCTCCAATAATGGTTTGAGTTCAAGAACTGGTGCATCTATAATAGAAGGCCAAAATTTTGTATGATTAGGTAAATCCTAATCCTAGAAACCTCTGTACCTTTTTGGAACTATTGGTTAATTGACTGCAATTCCCATACTGCATCCTTGATTTCTGCACTTAGCGGCTGGGTTGTACTTTCTTCATAAATTCCTTGACTAATCACTACTCTACTCATCCTCCTTGCGCTCAACTCAACGACATTCTGCACACCATGAATCAATTATATTCAAGAGAAAAACACAGAATGCTCATCAACAAGATGTTTCATTAGATCAAAAATATTAATTTAACTACTTCCTCATCAAATTCCATGGGTTAAAGTGCTAGGCATCCACATCAATTTTAAGTCTTGGCAGTTTTTTTTAAGAAAGGTCTACCAATAAAATCAAAATCAATGCAGAATTTGATGTGGAAACACTTTCCCCCATATCCAAAATATAAAAATCTGCTGGAAAAATTAA